CGGGCTTCTGGCTGAGCGGCACTCCCCCTGTGGGAGCGCACTGACCATCAGGGGGCAGCTCCTGCATTGAATGTCTGCCTCCTGGTGGTCAGTGCACATCACAGCAACTGGTTGTTCTGCTCATTCCGCCGTAATGGTTGCTTAGGCTTTTATTATATAGATAATTTATATACCAGACAATTCTTTCCTTTAAAGTGTATAATTCAGTGGACTGTGGTACATTATATTATCAGTTTTAAAAATTGGCGTAAAATATATTGGTATGGATTGAATGTGTCCCCCTGAATTCTGTATGTTGAGGCCTAATTCCTAATGAGGTAGTGCTTGAAAGTGGGGCTTTTGGAAAGAGATTGGATTTGGATGAGGTCATGGTGGTGGAGGCCAATATAAGGGAAGGAAAAGACCAGAGCTCTCTCTGGGCCATGTAAGGACATAGTGAGAAGGTAACTGTCTATAAGACAGGAAGTGGGTCCTTAACCAGAACCCAACCTTGCTGGCACCCTGATCTTGGACTTCCAGCCTCCTGGCCTATGAGAAATAAATGTTTGTTGTTTAAGCCACCTCTACAGAATTTAGTTATGGCAGCCTGAGCAGACTAAGACATTTATGCAACATAAATTTTCCACTTTAACCATTCTAAGTGTATAATTCAATAGCACTAATTATATTCACAATGTTATGTAATAATAACTGCCATTTCCAAAACTTTTTCATCAACAAGCAAGTTTCTTTAAATAAGTGATATATGAGCCTTGTCTTTAGCTGTTCCATTCACCTTCTATTGGCTGCAGCCACCTACAAGGAGACTTGGGAGTGTAGCCTGAGCTCAGAAGCCAGGTGCTGGCTGCAGAACATGCACCCTGGTGTTAAAAGGAGGAAGGGAGAACGTATGCCTGGAAAAAATGCAGTGCCCACCAAATATATGTTCCTAAAAATCTCTCTTACTCACTTTGGCTGCTGTAACAAAATACCACAGACTGTGTGGCTTAAATATAACAGACATTTATTTCTCACAGACCTGGAGTCTGGAACTCCAAGGCCAAGGTGCCAGCAGATTCCAGGCCTGGTGAGGACCAGCTTCCTGGTTTTCAGATGATCATCTTCTTTTTGTATCCTCATGTGGCAGAGAGCAGAGGGAAGAGGCAAGCTCACAGGTCTTGTCATATAAAGTGAACTAACTCCATTTATGGGGCTTCCCCCTTATAACCTAATTACCTCCCAAAGGCACCATCATCAAATACCTTCACATTAGGAGTTAGGATTTCAGCATGTGAATTTTGGGGGGAATACAAACATTCTATCTAGGAACTGGTGAAGACGACTGCTCTTTTGCTTTAGAGAACAGTGTGATCACCCCTCCAGTTACTTCTTGAGTAAAATATTGAAAAAATAAGGAACTGGGGGGCTTAAATCTACAGGAAGGATGACTTCAGGAAAGGGGACTATTCTGAGTAAGAGGGGGGCCCACCACATAACAGCAGCCAGGGTCCAAGGAGAGAGAGGACTTGATATGGACTTTCAAGAAAAAAAGTGTGCAACTTGAGTCTTACCAAAGTATCTTTGCACCTCATTGGCTATGACCAGGTCCCATGACTATGCTGAACTAATTGAGTTTCCAATGGGAGGAAACCCTTTGATTGGATTGGCAGGAGTGAAACACTGAGGGTGGAAGGATGGAGTCAATACCATCTGAACACATGAACTCAGAAATGGGGAGGGGATAGTTCCCCATGGGGGGCCTGGGACTCCATTTTACTAGTTGTGCATCCTGCTATTCTATGTTCTACTCTATTCTGTTCACAGGCTCTTTTCTGAACCCTGTCGTTTTATCTCAGGAGCAGGACAAAGCAGATACAGAGAGGAATATATGCAGAATCAGACATGCTTGTTATGTATGTAAGGGGTGGGGCCCAGGGACAGAGAGTGGCCAGGGAGAGGGAACAGGTTCAGCAGATGCTGTGATGAAGTCCAGCCTGGCTGACCTAAAATGATATCTAGAGACGGAGGCAACAGGTGAGTCAGGTCAGCAGTCATCACTAGAGGTTAACATGAAACCTATGGGTATCATAGCAGGTAGTTGGAACATGGAAAAAAAATCCAGAAGAAGGTATTTCTGATATAGCACCCCAAGACAGAGAAGGGGGGTATACTAATGACAGCCACCATGGCACACCAATCTCATTGTGCATTGGCTCCTGCTCACAATGCACTTGGACTCAAAAGTTGCCCACACTCACATGCATATGTCATGCTTGAGTGCAGGAGTGGCCACCACTGAGCATGAGATGCGAGAGGGCAGGAGTTACAAGAAGGGCCAGTAGCTTTATGTCTAACTTCCCTTCACAACTTCCGTCTTTACAGAAATCAAGCTGGCTTTTCAAAAGTGTTCAATCAGGACTTCTAGTTCCAACTTCAACATGTAAAGAGCTTAGAAGTTGTTACTCCCATTCTTACAAGAAGAAAAAGATAAATTAATAGAAAACCAGCAACTTTTCTAGGACCCATCAGAGAAAGGGGCAACATTCCCTCCCCTTGCCCCCCACCACCTCTGCCAAATCTGAATAAACAGGTGAATCCAGAAAGGTACAGCGAGACCTCCTTACCTGGGGCAGAAGCCACCAAGCTATACATTGGTATAAACACTTAAATGGCAAATTTGATAAATTTCTGGAGGCTGAATATGGACTATCATCAGAGTGAGAAACTCCTGGGAGAGCCCACATTTTCACAGATTGACTTCCAGGAAATCTTGGAACTCTGGGAAAGAGTCATCATTATGAAATACTAGAGGCCCAGTGCACAAATTTGTGCACAGGCAGGGTCCTGCCGGCCTGCGCCAATTGGGCTGGGACGGCCTGGGGGGAGGGGCCGTGGGCAGTTGGTTGGCCTGCCCCGCCCCCTGGTCGAACTCCTGGTCGAGGGGGCAATTTGCATATTAGCCTTTTATTATATAGGATACCGAGAGGGTTCTCCATAAGAAGAGCTACTCTCTAGGGCAGGGGTCCTCAAACTTTTTAAACAGGGGGCCAGTTCACTGTCCCTCAAACCGTTGGAGGGCTGGACTATAGTTTAAAAAAAAACTATGAACAAATTCCTATGCACACTACACATATCTTATTTTGAAGTAAAAAAACAAAACGGGAACAAATACAATATTTGTATTTGCACGTGGCCCGCGGGCCATAGTTTGAGGACCCCTGCTCTAGGGGAAAAGACTTCCCAGGGCCTTATCCCACCCTGGGGAAAGGGCATTTCTCCCACTCTACACCCCTCTGGCCTTCCTGTCTCATCTAAGGGGATAAAAAAAGAAAGGCTAAGAAACATTCCTGAAAGTCACAGAACCAGGGACATAGGCTAAAAGACTGAGAAATAATAATAAGATTGTAGAACCCTTCCCATCCTCTACTCCCAGCACACCAACAAAGTTCTAGTATCGGAAGAGCTGCCCACGGCTGAGGCCCTTCACATGGTCCCACCCCCTTGTTCACGTGCCCACTTTTGGCAGTTCACCTGGCCCCACCAGCTTGTTCACTGCCCACTTCCGGGTGTCCACGTGGCCCCACCCCCTTGATCAGATGCCGGCTGAGCGAGGGGCCCCGCCCCCTTGTTCAAGTGCCCTCTTACCACGTGGCCCCACCCCCTTGAGACCTCAGTTGGTCTGTTTCTGGGGTGCCATCTCCCTGGTTGGCTGTCTGGCCCTGCCCTCCCACCTGTCAACAGTCCCTTTGCCAAAGTTGTTTCCAGACAATGGTTTGTGTGTGCCCTCTCTTTCCTGCTGGGACTGTGACAGCTGGGATTGAGAAGGAGACAGGACAGCAAAGGCCTGTCCAGAGTCCATGCAAGTGGTCCAGAAGGGACTGTGCAGTCCCTGCAAGGCTGGGGGAGGGAAGGGTGGTGAGGCAGGGGTGTTGACTAGGAAGTAGAATGCCCTCCTGGGAGGAGCAGCTGTGGCCCACTGTCCAGGTGAGGCTACTGGACAAGTGACTTCCTCGAGGGCACAGAGCAGTTAAAGGGCAGAGCTAATGATAGAACCCAGTGGATTACAGCTGAAGGAGATGGAGGGTAACAAACTAAGCAGGAGTTCTTAAAGAGGCCCACACTTCTTGGTTCCATTTCTCTGGTAAACTCTAACTGATACAGTGCCGGGACACATTTGTTTACAGGAAGGAGTTAATCTTTTCGCAATAAATACAAACCCCCAGTTTTAACCAAAAGGGATTTTTTTTTCAGTGAAAAATAATCATTTTATCCATTTACCTGACAGTGACATTAACAAAAATATATATACTTCATTCAACTTTGCTGCTTTTCACTAATTCTCATTAATTAATTTCATTAAATAACATAAATGCTTATTCTTAAGAAGTCATTATAACCCTAGCCAACCATTTGTTAACTGCAGTCATATGAGAGCTCCTACATCTTAACTATCTTCCAGAGGTGCCTATGGAAAGGATCAATTGCCCGTGAAAACCAGTAAACCAGGAGCAATCACAAACCACCACAACTGCACTTGCTCACCTGCTTGTCGAGTCAAACTGATGGAGCTGAAAATCCATTTCTGGCTCTGCTTTTTGTTTTGTTTAGATTTTTGGAAAATAAAGAAAAATTTAGGATGCCACCACCTGAGAGTCTCAGGTACATACTGGCAAATAATGAGAGTGCTTTTAGTGTCAAAGTACCTCTCCCGGATGGGGCTAGCCAGAAGACTCTGCTATTGCATCTCAAACTCCACTTGAACTGATGTCAGCTGTGGATGGCTTTCATTCTGCAGCATGTGGCAGTATTTTATTTTACTTTATAATGGTTTTCTTGGCTGGAAAACGAGGGTGTTTTATGTGTGTTAAACTAAACCACCATGCTAATTTTGGAAGTTCCCAAGGAGGTGGCCCCTACATACCAGATGCTAGACACCACGCATTGAAGGCAAACACAAGCTACACAGCAACAACAGAACGTCAATGTGTCTCCAACAAGTGTCTAACAATATGCCTTTTAGCAGATAGACTCAGACTTTATTTCGACAAATGTAAGATAGAAAAATATCAAGTGAATATAGCAGTTGCTCTTTCTGTAACAAGGTTTGGAATGTGCAATGCGATTTGCAAGGACTAGCTTAATAGGAAGGTTTTACTTCTGTTTGGGCTTCTTAATGCTGAATTCTATTTCAGCCATTGCATTTGCTTGAGAGAATATTGGACACAGTAAAACTGGTATTTAAAAAGGTCATGGCATTCAATAATAAATATTACAAAGCAGTGAACCAAAACAACTTTTAAAATATTTCTATAGTAATTACTAAAAGCCAACATTAAACTTGATGATTAAAGCTAAGACCTCAGATTTTCAAAATAGCTTTGACATTTCTTACCAATATATAATAGAATAGTAGAACACTTATTGTTTAAAAACAAGTGAAGAAAATTAGAATTAACATGATATTTCAGATGACTATAAACAGTAAACAACAATTCAGTGTATTTATATATCTTTTCAATAATATACTCTTTGCCCAGCTGGCCATAAAAAACTGTAGTTCTAGCATCAAAAATGTGCCCTTGGATGTAATCTTTGAGCTAATTACCTGCTGCCATCATTTCTGCACTCCATCTTTGAGGGTGGTTGAGGGACTCAGTACATGCAGATATTTGGTTATGGTTATAATGTCAAAAAAATGTGCGTGCCAAGAGTCTGCAGCTGAACCCACTGTCTTATTTTGTTAAGCACCTTCATATTCTTTTGTCTTTGTTATGCCTCAGGTGAACTGATGCTAAATAATTCACACCGGTGCTAATTTTGTTGCTGTCAGTCTGGTTCGATTCTTTCTTTGCTTCCCTGCCCCACTCCTCAAAGAATAAAACTGGGCAGCCCCTCATTAAAATATGTTGTCTCTAACATATAAAATAAGTATCTATGTACACATATACATACATGCGTTTCCTTTTCAAGGACTGGGTGACTCCTCATTTTCTATCAAATAATCCTTCTTCATATACTTGGTTCCCCTGACTAACCTCCACACTACCAGGTAAGCATCCTTTAGTGACCTCCTGTTGGCTTCTTCAGCGCTGTCTGCCATCTGCCAGGTACTAGCCGCCAGCGGGACTCCTCTGGGGCTGCCCCTCACCCCTTGCCCCCTTTGCTGAGCGGAGCCACCTGCTACCTTTCCACCTTCTGCCCCGCCAGCTACCTCCTCTGGCAGCTCCTCTATGACAAAAGGCAGCTGGTCTCCACCTGGCTGCGCCTCCTCTCCCTGCGGCTGCGTCTCCAGGTCCTCGTAGTTGCTTTGCTTTCTGGTCTCCAAGAATTTGGCCACACAGTAAATGATGGAACCCAGGGTGTTCACCACGACCCCGGCAATGAAGAGAGAGGTGGGCGCCACGTCGCTGAAGGCCACCATGCCCACCGTGATGGTGGCGATGCTCTTCACCACGCCCACGAAGCTGGTGGTCACGGCCGAGTTGATGTAGGTGCAGTGCAGCGTGGTGAAGTTCATGGCGCAGCCGATCAGGACGCAGGCCACGAAGATGCAGACCATCGTGGGGTCCTTCCAGCCGGGGAAGGCCCAGACTTGGATCGCGTCGGTGCTGGCGAAAGACAGGACGACCAGCAGCGGGGTGGCGGAGATGGCGATGGCGTACTGCGCGGTGAGCGGCCCGTGCTGGGTGTCCGCGCTCGCCTTCTGGATGAGCACCAGGTAGGCGGCGTGCACCAGCACCGCCAGCACGCCCGTCACGTAGCCCATGGGGTCGCCGGTCAGGTCGCCGGCGCCTGGGGCGCAGGAAGAGGGCCGCAGAGCCGGGAAAGAGAAAGAGAAGACACCGGGTTGGCGCGGGTGGCTCTCCACGGGGGAGACGCGTCGTCGGGTTGGAAAGTAGACGGGTGCCTGCCCCACCTCTGCCCCTGGGTGTGAAATGGTCAGTGCCCAATGCGAGGCGGGGGGAGAGGCGCCGTCCCTGCCACGTCCCCAGGGCATTCTGTCTATCTCTGTCCCCGACAGAGGCCCCGGAGAGCGCAGGTGCCCTCGGGGAGGCGGTGGCTCTCAGAGCCGACGCGGAGGGGGCCAGGTGTTTGGTATCCTTGCCCCTCCGTGGGTGCCAGAGGGAAAAGGGGATCCCCCAACTAGTAGCTTCTAACTCCAGCGGGCTGGGCGCGGGGCGAAGAACCGCCCTCTCGCCCCCAAAGCTTTCCGCTTCCCACCGGCTCGCGTCTCATCCAGTCGGCAAGATCCACGCGGTCTTCAGTCCAGCCCCTTTTGCCCCGGGCCCGCAGCCCCCGGCGCCGCCGCCGGAGCCCTTCCAACCAGCCCGGCGCTGCCAGGCCCCC